TTTTGAAAAATTGATTTTTTCAATTATATAGTACTCTCTTTAAATATGGATATCATCTACAAATCTGAAGACAAGCTATTGAAGGTATTCTGAAGAAACCAAACAGAAAAGCTTTAATTTTTAAATTATATAGAATTATTTCTCTTCTTAACTGCATGGAAAAAGTTATAGAAAGAGTTATTGCAACAAGACTTTTCTTTCTTGTCTTCACAACTGATTTACTCTGTAATGATCAGTTTGAAGATAAAAAGCAATACTCTGCTATTAATGCAGCTATGAGTTTAACTTATAATATTCAACTAAATAACTCCAAAAATTTGATGATCTCTGCTCTCTTTATGAATATTAAAGAAGCTTTTGACTATGTTTCAGTAAATAGATTGATGAAAGTTCTTTCAGACATGAAATTATTCAAAGCTTTAGTCAAATGGATATTCTCATTTATGCAGAAAAGAGAAATTCAGTTAATATTTAATGATAATAAACAATAAGAATCATCAACTATTAACATTGAAGTTCCACAAGGCTCTCCACTTTCTCCAGTTCTTTATGATTTATATACAAAATATTTTTTTGAAAATAATCATGAGAATTTGCATAATGTGAGAATTTCTAGCTATATTGATGATACTGGTTTAATTATCTTCTCTTTCTCAATTGAGTAAAATTGTCTTCTTCTTCAAAAAGCAGTTAACATTATGCTTCAAAGACAAGATTCTCAAGTCATTCAGTTTGATATGAATAAAACTGAGCTTATTCATTTTGCAAAACATGATGAGAGTAATTCTATCATGCTGAATGACAGAGAATTCAAATCAAAATCAGTAATCAAATGGTTGAGTATTTGGATTGATTCAAAACTCACTTTTAAACAACATGTGGAATTCAAAATAGCAATAGCTAAAAGAATCTTAAATAAAATAATAAGACTTTCTAATACTGAAAGAGTTCTCACCTTTCAAGCAATGAGACAGTTATATATTGCTTGTATTACTTCAGTAGCTGACTATGAAGTTTCTATCTGATGAAATAATCAAAAATATCTACTTGAAAAATTTGAAAAGCTTCAAAATTCAGCACTAAGAAAGATTTTAGGAGCTTTCAGAACCTCTTCAATATATGCAATGAAGATTGAAGCAGCAATTCCTTCACCAAAAGTGAGATTTAATAAGCTGTGCAGAAGTTATGCTCTCAGATTATTAAAACTATCAAAATTTCATGTTATAAGACAAAGACTTTCATCAAGCTATTCTTCATATAATTGTGAAATTGAGCTGGATTGGAGAAAGTATCTGGATTGAAATCAAAATATAAATAATACTGAACAAGTTGAACAAACATCAAGCAAAAGAAAAAGAAAAAAATCATTAAAAATAAAAAAATATTCAAGTCAACTGTTCAGAATTTGCTCAATGATTTTCAATCAGCTACTTTCTCTAAAAACTGAGAGAATCAAAATAAAATGGAATGCACCATGATTCAAAAATCTAGATGAATTGATTGATATAAACATCAATGAAGCTGAGAAGCTTACTGCAAAAGAAAATCACAATCAATTATTGAATCAATCAAATCATGAATCAAATAAATCTCTAATCATTTATTCTGATGGTTCTCAATCTGAGAATCAAATAAATGGTGCAGGTCTATACATCTTGAATGAAAATATGAGATATTCATGGAACTTAGGCAAACACATGGAAGTTTTTAATGCAGAACTCTTTGCAATAGACAAAGCTTTCAAGTTTGCTGTCTCACTGACTCAGAAAAATAGCTCTTATAAAAATGTTTGGATCTTTTCAGATAATCAAGCTGTCATAAAAAGAACTTGTAACCAAAATCTAAATGATGGATTATACTATCTTAATTTAATTAGAAACTATGTTTCTTAATTGAATAAGATGAGTATAACCAGTCATTTGCATTGGGTGCCAGCTCATGTTAATGTTCATGACAATGAAGAAGCTGATAAAGCTGCAAAAAAAGACACTGAACTAGCACAAGTCTTCTCTGAAAAATATGTATCTCTGATTTTTATTAAGAGGCAAATAAGAGAACAGGCAATGCTTGAATGGTTTGAGGACTTATTCAATAGAGAAAGTCAAGAAAATCACTACTGTCAATTTGAAATTAAGCTAAAACAGAAAGCCTCAACTCTGAAAATTTCTAAACAAATTTGGTCCACAATTATTCAGTTAAAAATTGGACATGGTTATTTTGCTTCTTACTTAGTAAGATTATTAAATTATCTGTCTGAAAACTGCAGATACTGTGACTGCAAAGAAAATCCAAAGCATTTATTGCTTGACTGCTCTGTTTGGAAGAAAGAGAGACAAAAGATTCAAAAGAAATTAAATATTTCACAACTTTTTTTAAAATTTCTTTTTGAAACTTCTTTGAGTCTGAAGTGATAAGTATTGTTTCTTAAAGAAACAAAACTAGCTACAAGACAGTGATATTGAGATAAAAAGTAAAATAAAAACTACAACTGTTGCAATCATTTTTCTGTGGTGGAAAGAACTCTTATTTGTCTCATCACTTTTCAATTTGGTTTTAATTGGTCAAAGCTGTGTCATCAGTTTCTCTTGTATCTAGTTAAATCCTACAGCTAGCAAAGCTGTCAGGTAGTCTTCATAGTCTCTGACTGCATAAGACTATAATGAATAATACTAATAATAATAATAATAATAATAATAATAATAATAATAATAATAATAATAATAATAATAATAATAATAATAATAATAATAATAATAATAATAATAATAATAGAATAGAAACAAAGCTTATATAATGAAGAAGAAGTGTCCACCAACCAAATACATCAGTTTTCATCAAGATTTTGATATCAGTTTGAAGCTCTCATCAAGCTCTATTATCATCTCTATTCTTATTTCATATCTTCTTCTTGTTGTTGTGTTCTTCAATCCTTTTATTGTGTGCTATTGCTGTTCATTGTGAAGCCAAAGTTTGTCACAGTGAGACATAGTGATCAGAGATGCACTCTCTACTGTACATCACAGAGATTATAAGTGCAACTTTACTCATCATGTCTTTCTCATCTGAATCTGAGAATTTCTTTTAAAAAGTTATATTCAAAACTTCTGAAAACAACAAAAAACAAGCAAAAAGAGCTAAGAAAAGACAGACTGAACAGTCTCTTTCTGACTCTGATATTGAATCTTCTGCAAAAACCTCAGCTTTCTACATCAACAAAGTAATCACTAATCTTGAACTTGCTATCAAGCAAAATCAAGATGATGAGCTGCAGATTAAATTGCAATCTCAAGTTGAATATCTTCAAAATATTCTATTAAACAAACAAGACTTGATTGAATTCAAATTAAATTCAATGCAAAACCAGATTAACTCAGTGCAGAATGATATAACTAAGAAATTTAATGTTATTCAATCTGACATTGAGAATCTGTCTGCAAAAGCTGACTTGAATTTTGATTCTGCAAATTATGATTAATCTGATATGCATGCTGCTGATGAAAATCTGAAAATCTGTGAGTCTCTGACTGAAAATCAACAGACAAGAAGCTATGCTCAAGTATTATCTTGCTCTAAGACTCAAATTAGAAGTTTCTCTTTAAGCTCTCTTAGCATGAAAAGAAGCTCAGCTCACATATCTTCTGGATGTGGTTCAGCAAAATAAATAAAAAGTCAAGCTTCAAAGTCTTTCTATAGAAATAGGTGTCTGATTCTCTCAAATTTCAAAGCATTTGACTTAAAGAATGCTATGAAATTAAGAGAAAAGCTCAATCAAGACTTCAAACAGCAACTAAAGCTTGAAAAGTCTGTTATTGCAGTCATCATCAAGTCTCAAAAGAATCAGAATGTTATATTGATTACTACTGAGACTTATTTTGCTGATTTTCTTATTGAAAAGAAAGAAATCTGACAGAATTATTTCAAATCTTCTTTTTCCTCAGTCTATAAGAATAAAGAATAGTTTAAAATAGTGATGCATGATGTTTCAACTGAGATATTGAACTACTCAGAGAGAATGCAGCTTCTCAATGTTATAAATCTTGCAGCACAGCACAGAACCATCACATGCCATTGGAAGAGTGTATGGAGAATGTGACTGAGAAGTGGAGCATGATGAGGCTATGAGAGTTACAGACTGGAAGAACTAGAATCCAGAAAGAAGAAGATCATATGACTGAATAGTCAGAATAGTAGTAACTATCTCAACTGACAGATAGCTGAATAGTCAGAATAGTTATGACTATTCTGACTAGTGAACAGAAGAATAAGAGAGACTACTTGAACTATTCATAATACTCATCATGTATATAAGAATGCTCTTTACTGTTGATCAGATGGATTTGTTCATCAGGATTAATTTCTCTTATGATTCTCTCTATAGCTTTGTCTATACAGATACTATCATATCTTGATTATTTTTCATATCATTGAAGTTCTGTAATACTGTATGATTGTATCTGCTCTTGCTACTCTTGAGAAGACATGATGATCTTGATTCAACTCTGATGTATCTGTATGAAAACTCTTTGTCATTGGACAAATCTGTCAACTTGAGATCAAGCACCATTAAAGTATTGATCACTAAAGTTCCAATTTGTTATGTTGAACAACAAGTTTGATAACACATTAATCACTTCTGACTCAGAAGAGGATACACCTGAGACCCCAGAGCTTAAGTACAAAGAAAGAATATTGTATCACAAGTGAAAAAAGATAAAGATACAAATCTCATCCATTAAGAAGTCTCACAGAATATAGAAATCATGTCTACAACTGGAATCTTGAACAGCACATGAGAAATGATGGAAAAAATTATATGACTTGAACAGACAGTGAAAGTCTTGACTTGATAAAATCTTGAACTTAAGAACTGTAACAATCAGATTGTGGCTCAGGTCATGGCAATTCCCAATATCAGAAACAAGATGAAAGTCAACTCATCAGAGTCATTCAAGAGTGAATGAGAAAAACTATGAGTGTTTCTAGAACAAATACAAATCTATATGAATATGAAGAAAGAAGAATTCAAAGATGATAAAGAAAAGATGATGGCAGCAGCATCATATCTCCAAGAAGCAGCATTTAACTGGTTTAACATTTATTTGCAAAACTACTATAAGAAAGAAGAAGTTGACCAAGATGATAACATGCTCAAAGTCATTAACCATTATAATATCTTTATTAAAACACTCAAAACTACTTTCAGAGAAGTTGAGGAATGAAATGTGACAACACAGCAGTTACAGAACATGTGGCAGAAAATATCATCACAAGAATACATCATGAGATTTTAACAAGTATGTGTCAACACAGATTGAGATGATGAGGCTCTAGCTGATACTTTTTATTAAGAACTATTTGATGACATCAAAGACAAGATCACACACATGAAGAAATAATCATAAAACCTGACTGAAATGATTGAAGTGGCAGTTAGAATTGGAAATTAACTTTATGAGCAAAAGATGAAAAAATAAGAAAAGATATTATGAAAAAAACTCATCTTGATGAATTACAAGAGATGAGATAAAGCATCTCAAACAGATTCTTATGAATCTATATCTATGGAATTGGATGCAATCAAACAAGACACTCTTGATGAAAAAGAGAAAGAATGAAGAAAGAAAAACAAATTATGTTTTTATTACAGCAAATCAGAACATTAAGCAAAACAATGTTAAATGAAGAAAGCTGAACACAAAAAAAAAGAACTCAGAGCTATCTTAGAAGAAAATGAAGAAAACTCTGAAAAATTAAAGCATTATCTCCAAACAATAACTCAAGAGAAATCAACAGATGAAGAATTACAACAACAGTTTCATGAAACATTTAAAGAGCACATCATAAAGATCTACTGAGCACTATCAAGACAATCAGAAGATGAAAACAAGTGCTGAAATGAACTAAAAAGCAATAAATGAGAATTATGTGAAGAACTGTGTGTGATAATAAGAAAAGAATCAAGTGATGATTGAGGGATCTGATCATCAGAATGCAACTATCACTACAATCTAAAGATGAATGAGATTCAAGATCCAATCCATCAGAAACATGCAAACTATTCAATCTATAGTTGTTCATGTGGACTTCATCAGAAACAGCAAGAAGAGTTCATTCAATGAACATGAGTCACAGAAGACTTCATATATCATGAAAATTATGAATGCAACATTAAAAACTATCAGTGTTGCAGATGTGACACTGAAGAAAGTGAAGAAGAAATGTCAGACTCTCAGAATATGTTAAACACAGAGCACTCAGAACATGTTAGAATTCACTGAAGCTTGTGCTATAAAGACAAATGTCCAATTCACAAGAATGAAAAAGACAAAGAATACTATCTGAAACCACCAAAGAAATTGAGAGCAACTCAGAAAGAAAAAGAATCTAATTAAAAAATACTAGAATTTGAAGAATATGAAGAGAATGTCATGAAGCAACTAGATCTCATAAAAAGTGTGACACTTGAAGAAGAAAAATGTCCAACTGCAAGAGTACTACAGATTCAAGAAGAACAACTACACTGAATAATCTGTAAAGAAAACAGAATATTATTAATATGAACATGTGAAAGGCATTGAGATGAGAAACAAAAAGAAGTGAATAATTCATATCACTCATGTCATGACAAACTGAAATACAAATGCCAATGTGATTACCACCACAGCAAAGAACAGTGAAAGACAACAAGATTACTGCATGAACTATAAGAATGTGAAGAATGTGCAGGATGCAGAGATATCAAAAGTCTAAGAAGAATATATAAGATATGATGCAACAACTTAAAGAATTGCAAGATACACAAACAGACACTCAAAATAATTCTTGTTAAATTAAGAAACAGGCAGACTGTCACAAATAAGAGTCTGTAAGCAGTGTAAGAAGACAAGCAAAACTGTTAGCCACCAACAGACAAATCTGTCATCTCAGAATTACAGCAATCTTACTTGAATTAACACACACAAAGATCTTAGTGAACTCAGAAGCAATCAGATTATTCATTGATAGAAGATTTATTAAATGAGCTGACATTGCAAAGTAAATAAAAGAACATCTCTATCAGTTAGCAGGACTGGGAGAAGGAACTCTAAATAGAATTGAGAAAGAAACATACTTCATTGAGATGAAAATACAAGAACACAGAAAAAGAGTATGTTTTAAAGTGACAAACTTAGAGAACTATAATATAATTTTGAGATACTCTTGATTGAAACAGCATAATTCAGACATTGACTGATGAGAAGAGAAAGTTAGACTGACAAACTATGAATGTTCTCTCAAATCAGAACATCATAATCAGAGACTCACACTCAGAAATGACTTGAGTGAGACATTGACCATGACAAGTCAAGTCAACAGAAAGATACTGCAAGAAGAACAATTAATTGAAATAAAAGAAAAAACTCATAATAACTCAAATCATGATGAGACAGCAGATCAAGCCACAAAGAATCTTGACAATTTGATACAGCTGCAAGTACAGAAAGATGATCAGAACACAAGAATTAAAGAAATTCTGTCAGAGAAATTTTGAGAATACATTAATATGTTCAGAAAAAGAGATTAAGAAAATAGTCTAGTGAAACATGAACTCTGAGATTATAAAGTCAAACTACAAGAAGAAAAACAATCTGTAAAGTTATCAATTTACAGATTGAATGAGAAAGAATCAGCTGAAGTCAGAAAATATATCAAGAAGAATTTAGAGAAAGATTACATCAGAAAGTTGATGTCACTGACAGAATACTCAATACTGTTTGCATCAAAGAAAGATGAAACACTATAACTATGTATAAATTACAGACAGTTGAACAGCATAACAGTCAAGAACTGCTACCCAATACCACTGATTGAGAAAGTGCAAGACAGATTGCAAGAAGTAAAATAATTTACTCTAATTGACATCAAAGAAGTATATCACCAGATACAAATCAAAAAAGATGATGAATGAAAAACAGCTTTCAGAATAAGATATGAACTGTATGAGTACAACATCATGTCATTTGAATTAACTAATGCACTGGCAATGTTTCAAGCACTTATCAATAATACATTATGAGAATACTTGAATGACTTCATCATCACATATCTTGATGATGTGATCATAATTACCAAAGAAGATCAAAGAATCATGCTGAAAAAGTCAAGAAGATACTAAAGAGACTGTGAGAATACAATCTATCAGCAAAGTTAAAAAAGTGTGACTTCTTCAAGAAAGAAATCAGATATCTTGAACACATCATATCAACAGAATGAGTATGAATGAAATCAGAAAAGATTGATGAAGTATTGCAATGACTGACATCAAAGACTGTTAAAAAAGTACAAATGTTTCATGAACTAGCAAACTACTATCAACAATTCATACATGAATTTTCAAAGAAAGCAAGACTGCTTACACAGCTATTTAAGAAGAACAAATCATTCAAATGAACAAACAAGTGTCAGAAGACATTTGAAATAATAAAAAATAAATTCAGAAAAGAAGAAATGAGACAACACTATAATTCAATCAAGAAATGTGTGATTGATATAGATATATCAGATTGTGTGATAGCAGAAAGATTGCAACAACCAGATGAACAGAAAAGACTAAGATTGATTGTGTGCTATGCAAGAACAATGACATCAGCAGAGCAGAATTATGACATTTACAACAAGAAATTACTTGTGATAGTGACATCATTAAAGAAATGGAAGATTGAACTGCAAGAAAATCAACATCAAACAGATGTCATCTTGAACCACAATAATTTACAATACTTTATGACAACAAAAGAACTCACAAGATGACAAGCAAGATGGTATGCAGACATACTAGTGCACTATAATTTCAGAATACAACACTGCAAGAGAATCAAAAATGCATGAACTGATGCACTAAGTTAAAAATCAGACTTGATAAAAAAGAAAAGAGATTCATAAGCACTCTTCAAGAAGTTAGAAGAAACAAAAAATATGATTCTGAATTAACAAGTTTTAAGAGCAATAAAAATCAAAGCAGAGAAATTGGACATTAAAAAAAGAATCAAAAAAGCCACAATGAAAGATGAGTATGCAAAAAAGATTGACAATGAAAACAAGAACTTCAAGAAGAAAGATGAAATAATACTATATCATGAATTGATATACATATCAAGAAAAATCAGAAAAGAAATGATGATACAAGAACATGACATGATTACTTCAGAACACTTTGACATTGACAAAATAATGAAAAAAATCACAAGAATATACTATTAATCAGAAATGTGGACAGACATTTGACAACATGTTAAAGAATATGAGACATGTGCACAAAGCAAAATCAACAAGCAATAATCACATGGAAAGCTACAGCCAATATCACAACTGTGAGGATTATGAAAATCTATAGCAATGGATTTCATTGTGAAACTTCTGAAATCAAAGAATATGAACAGAAAGAAGTATGACACAATACTAGTGATCATTAACAGATTAACAAAATATGAATACTTTATACTGTTTGAAGAAGCAACAAGTGCACCAGAAACAGCATAAACAGTACTAAAAACAGTAATTGTCAATTACAGATTGTCAGAAGAGATAATTACAGACAGAGACATAAGATTTACAAGCAAGTTTTGAATAATATTAATGACACTACTAGAAATTGAATAAAAGATATCAACAGTCTATCACTCACAGACAGACAGTCAAACAAAATGATTAAATTAGATCTTGAAGCAATATCTGCAAGAATATGTGAACTATCAACAGAACAACTGGATTGAACTGCTACTAATGACACAACTAGCATACAATAAGTTAAAGAACACTACAACAGGACTGACATCATTTTATATGAATTACAGCAGAGAATCAGAAATACAACAATAATCAAAAATTACACAACAGAAAGCTCAAGAAGCAGAGCTTACTGCAATACAACTGAAAGAATTACAAGATCACATGAAGATGAATATTGAATTCTTACAAGAAAGAATGAAGTACTACTATAATCAGAAGCATCAGAAGACATTTATCTTAAAAGAGAGAGAGAAAGTATTTCTAATTCAATAAAACATCAAGATGAAAAGATCAAATAATAAACTCAATTTCAAGAAACTGAGATCATACAAGATCAAAAAACAGATTGAAAAGATCAACTACAGACTACAACTATCAAAGAAAATAAGAATATACTCTGTATTTCATGTCTCATTACTGAAAAAGACACTGCTACATGCTAAAAAAATGC